TTTTTTTTTTTTAAGGAAATCCTTTCGCTCCAGTTGAGTCAAAACAATTTTAGTAGTCAATAATATACGATAAATTAAAAAAAAACTCATAAAAATTCCTAAAATTTAATAATAAATAGTATATGAGGCATTAATCGTTGAAATTTTGAAAATAAAAAAAAAATAGTTAAATATAAAAATTAATTTGACTCTTTCAAATCAGTTGCTTTCAAATCACTTGTCCGTGATTTGGCAACGCTGTACTTCGGTTGTTTACATTTTCATTTGCACAATATAACCTTAACCACGTTTAAGTTTTTGCAGTCAGTGTAAATAAATAAATTAGTTTGAATAAATAAATTAGTTTAAATTTATTGAATGGTCTGAAGCTCGCGCGCTACGCAACGTTGCCAAATGTTTTGACTCCATTTTATTGTAGGTTACTTGAAAATTTTTTGTGATTTTTAAATATTAATTTTTCAATAAATATCTCGATAACTGATATATTTTATTGCAAAAAAAAGAAACCTGAATATTTCGAAAATCTAATTTTTAGTTTTTTTTTACTTCATCTAATCTATGACTGATATATAGGTAAAAGACCCCATTAGTGGCACTTTTTCTTTCAATGAAAAAATGTTCTACTTGGAATAAAAGTTAAAAATTTTTTTGATCAAAAGGTCTTAAAGATTAGAAATAATATATTTATTACTGAAATTAATGATTTAATTAATTAAATAAGTACCAAAATCAAAGAAAGTATCAGTAATGGGGTCCCCACCATTAATGGGGTCTTTTACCCTAGTACAATTCGAGAAATACCGCAAACGTGTGACTTTCTCGTAAGACTCTGAACAAATACTAACATTTAAAAATTTTATTTTTTCAAAAATTTGTCCGGTAAAGTATAATTTAAACCTCACTATTAGATAAATAAGGACCTTAACTATTAGAAAAAAATTAAATTTACTCATAATCTAATATTTTTTATTTTACATTGGCGGCGAAAGGACCTCCTTAAACTCGTTGTTAAGGTTGAACAACTTTAAAATGAAAGTAATTGATATAATTTTTTGCGTATGCCAATGGATTAGTATTAAAGGAACTTAATTTTGGAATATTTATATCTTCCAATAAAATGTGTAATTTTTTCTAATACAATTTTTTTAATAATAATTTAACAGTCAATTATATTAATACTGAAATCAGTAGACATGAGAAAATTCTATAATAAATCAATCATGATAAAAAATTATTTTTAATTTAAATCTGCTTATTACAAATGTATATATCCTTGAATTTTTTACTCGATAGCATGTTATATACTTCTCTAAATCTATTTAGTCATAGGATATGTCATTTTTGGTACTAAGTTATGTATCGTAGTTTTGTAAATTTTTAAGAAAATTGTAAAATGTTTTTAAGCTGACTCATGTTTCTACAATATTTGACAGAGTTTTTACAAATACGTTGTAAAATATCTTATCCG